AAGCAACAAAAACAATTTTAGCAATATTTTTTTACAAAATATTGTTTATAATTTTAAAATATTTAAATAATTTTAAGTAAGCAGTTGTGTGAACGCATCCTAATCACCTCATTAGCTATCGACTTGCGATGCCATTGCCATCTATCATCGCTTTCATTATTATTAATAAATTATATTTTCATGCATAGCGCTCATTAAATTGTCGCTCGCAGGCGCGTGATTTTTGTTATATCTAAGCTCTGCTTAAGGCGCTGCAAGCATTTTTGCAAATTGTAATAAATAGCTGCAGTCAGAGCGAAGCCAGGCATGCAAATAGTCTCCACGCGAACGTTGAAACGCGTCACTTTTTGAATACAAAGCTGCTTCTAAGCTAGGCTTTCCAACTATTTTAGTTTGGATAAAAAATTTATTTGGTTGTAATTATTTTAGTAAAATTTTCGAAAATTTAAACTAATTGCGCAATTGCCAATAGCTTTACAGCCTTCATTTAATTATTGCCATTCTCTTTGCTATTATGTTATTACACTAAGCACCTGTTAGCACCAAATAAAAGCCTTGAAATACACTACGCGAGCATTTCAAATATGTCGAATTACCTTTAAAGCGAAATTTTGCGCAATAATGCTTTTCATTCAAGTTAATTTTTATTTTTATATATTTTTTTTCTTGTTAAAATGCGATTTTTTGAAAATGTTCTATGCAATTCATATAACTTTAGTGGCAGCTCAATTAAATGAGTTAATATTGTTGCGCTGCTGTTGATTTAATTAATACCAAATTCGTTTGCTAACAAAAAATATGTCAATTAAGAAATTATGTTGCAATATATTTAGCTTAGGTGACTTTGGTGACAATTTTATATACGGCTTGATTGCTGCACGGTTTGCGGCGCTGTTGCTTTTGGAGTTAATTGCTTTCTTGGAAATAATTGTTTTTTTGTGTTTGCTTTTATTATTTATTATTTCTTTTAATTTATTTTTTGTTTTTTTTTATATTTTTTCGCTTGCGCCTAGTACTATTTTTTTGTGTGCTGCCGCGTAGTTCATTACTTTTTTCTTTTGTTGCACTTCTTTTGGTAAATTTAATTATTTATTTCGTTTCTTTCGCTAATTAAAAGCTGTGGTGAGTTTATCTGAAGCTATACTTCATTATTATTTTTTTTTTGTTAACTTTTCAATTAACAATAAATTGTTTTTTCTTTCTTTTATTTTCATTTATTTATTTTTCAATTTTATACTTGCCAGTTTGCGCTTAGTGATTTTTCGCATTCATTTTATTGTGTCTGCGTTTTAATTAGTGGCTTTTGACTTGTTTTTATGAGCTACTGCGCGCAGCAAGACTGAAGTTTTTACTTTAATTATATAGATTGTGAAATTTTTTCTTAATTTACAGTATTTACATAATATATAATACCAATTACCAGTGTAAAAACCATCATTAAATATACTATTATATAAAAGCAAACTTTTTTATTGTAACAAATATTTTTATTAATACTATTTTTAACTTTTTTAATACTTTTTTGTTTTGTGAATATTTAAATTTAATTTTAATTTTTATTATTTTTGTTTTTTTTTATTTAAAAATTTGTATTTATTTTTTTCTAAAACAGTTTAAAATTTACTTTGTAAACTTTTTTCTTAAATTTAATTGATCATAATTTTTTCGCTTGCGAATATCCTTGAATACTTATTAACTACATTTTTATTGCAAACACTTGACCGACTTTTCGAAAATCAAAGCGTTGATAGTGTGCTACAACAAGCAGTACGCACAAACCAAAGCAACAAATTTATGTTTTACACAAATATTTCACAAAGTACGTTGAAACATTCGTCTATAATTCATTATTCATTCAAAAATTAGCCTTTCAATTACAAAAATAAAAAAAATACAATCTGCTGCTTGTCTACGAGCGTGCGCCGCAGCTGAAGTCATTAGATTTATTACGCATTCAACTGTTGATTATTTGTTCATTGTTCTATGTTTAGCTGTGTTATTTTAGAATTTTATTGCCTCGTCATTTTCACCGTCAAACGAATTTGCTTTAAAACTGGCCAAGCAAGCGCTGTGGGGTTAAGTTCAATGCGAACAGCATAAAAGTATGACACTTATAGTAATTCACCTGTCATAAAAGTAATTTCGAAAATAGCTTAATTTGTTTTGTCTAAATTTTTCTTTTTCTCTATATTTTTATTTGTTTATTTTTGAATTAGTAAGCGCTCGCTAAACCTTTCACTTTGCGTTTTCCAGTTGATATTCAAGCACGCAAGGCGATCGTAACGTGCGATAGCAGATTTAATCCACATGCTGTGATCATATGAAAGCAGTAAATTGCTTAGCGTGTAGAAAATTTTGAATATAAATTAAAATTTATGCTACATATATATTTGCTTATATGTATATATGAATCTATAACATTTTTTTGCATTATACACACTTAATTTGCTGGAGCGCTGATTTGCTATGGAGAAAAAGTTTTTTCAAGCAAAGAATTATTTTTATTTATTATTCGTAATATTAATTTCTCTTTGCATAGAAATTTGCGAAAAATATTTTACAAAGCCTCTAAATTAAAATTCTTGATTGAATTGGAGCTGACGTCAATCATAAATGACAAGTTTACTTTATGTAAACAAACATTATACTCGTACAACACTGTTCTGCTCTATTTAATAAATTGCTGCATTTAAATTAGCCAATACAAAATATGTTATGAGCAGATTTTGTTACGTTTAACAACTTGTGTTTATTAATTTGCTACAAAAACAAAAAATATAATTAAATTTATTAATACAACCGTTCTACTGTTCGAATTAACCCTGCACTCCACTTGATACGCGTTTGTAGCTTTAAAATATAACGAAATGAAATGCATGAAATTTAACTAAAATCTCGCAGAGCACATACAGAAACAAATAATTTAAATTAACCTCACCTCTGTTATGCAAACAATTCAATTAAAAGTCGAAAATACAAAATCAAAACACTTCAAAGCATATTGTGCCAAAAGACCCACTTGAAGGTTCCAACTCGTCCATCGATTGCATGCTACAGTTGCCTGAGGTCGTAGCTGCATCAACTACTACAACGCACGACTTGTGGCCGGCGATGTGTGACACGGTTTTGCTTTTTTCAGCATGCGGTCAGTGTTTACAAGCGGCGGCGGCGGCCAGTCGCCAAGGGTCCAGCGCTTGTGCAACACCTTCTTTTTCATATCTCGCCTATGCTTTTTTGTGCTTTATGATTTATTGCAAAAACAAAGTTGCTGTATTAATTGCCTGCGCAGCTTTTTCATCTTTTTCATCTTACCTTTCTACCGCGCCGACGACGTGCGTGCATGTATGTGTATGCTGCGCCTTTCACCATGCACTTTCGTTGGAGTGTTGCAATTGTAGCGCCTTTGTTTTTACGACTTTTTCACTTGCAAAACCGCAAGCGTTTACAATGTAGTAATAGCCAGCTGCAGAGATCTAACGGTAATTGTTGCAATTTTTGTTTTGTTTTCTAACCGTAATATGTTTTTCGCTGGCATGTAGAGGCGTTAAAACGCTTTCGCTTGCATCTCCATGTTTTGCTTCGATTACTTTTCTGCAGCCAGTTAATCTAATCGCGTAATTCCAAACAGTTTTACTTTGTATTTATCTGCGGCAGTACGCCCTACGCTTAACAACTCTGCATTTGGTATACAAAACACGTCTCTTAAGTGCATTAATAGGTCTATTTGCCGACATGGTGGTCAACGCTAGTCCGTTTGGAATTTTAATGAATTTTGCCTTAATTGTTTGTAATATTAATTTTTAGTATTTATACGGCAATGTTTACCTTAACAAAGGAGATATACATATGTATGTATTGTATGTATGCAGTAATAAGTAGTACGTAATTACGTCTAAAATTATACGAAGTTATGGTGAATGGCGAATGTAGGAAATGAAGAGGCGGAAGCAACATATTTATATATAGTTACACTGCAAACCTGTTTAAATACATGGCAACGTTGTATAAGGACAGGAACACAGTGGAAAAGGAGAAATGACCTGAATTGTTTGTTGAGACTTCCGATTGCAACCTTAAATTAAAGAAATGGAATAAGATAAGAAAATATAATAAAAATGGATGGGAATAAAATGGAATAGAACAAAATAAAATAAAATAATTAAACTAAAAAACAAATAATTAAAAAAAAAATAAAAATAGAAAAATATTACGTATACAAAAAATTTTTTTTTTTATAATTAAAAAAAATAATAAATAAAAAAAAGATAATGAAATAAAATATAATAAAAAAAAAAAAATACTAATAAAAAATATATAACAATTTATTTCTTAAAGATATAAAAAAATCAAATAAAAACATTTTCCATAGAAAAATTTGACTTTGAGTGGTCATTTTGTACGGCAGCTAAATATAGCTACAGTAGTATATCCAATATCGGTGGGTTCCACATCAGATGAGCAGCTTTTTGAAGAGAAAGGACGCATGCAAAATTTCAGATCAATATCTCAAAACTCAAGGACTAGTTCGCATATATACAGACGGACGGACTATTTATGTATATATTTTTTTGGGTATCCGATATTTCCTTCAGGGTGTTATAAACTTCATGGCAAACCCATTCAGGGTCTAACGATTTATATGTATCTGAAAAATAATTTTATTTTATTTTGTGACAAGGCTGCTGCTTAATATAGCCCAGTGACCTTCTAAATCCCTTTGTGGCGGGCGTTATTATATCTAAACGCCTGCTGCACAAGTCTTCTCAATGCTAAATAGTTGGACGTGCTTAGTGTATCAATTAACTGCTAAATCGAAGCTGAGTGGACTGCCTATATATTTTATATGCCATTATAAACAAGTATACAATCATTCACTCTTTTTTACTATATTTTTTATTATTTTATGTATTGAAAACAATTATTTCACGTCGTTATTTAATTAAGTTCTATTTTGTTAATTATTTCACGTTTTTTCTTTCATCTCCTCTGTCTGCGCGCAGCAATGACATAATGGAACCGATGACCGCCTTGGTTTTGGCCTTCCAGCTGTTGGCACTATTCTCTATCGCCGGCGCGCTGCTGATCTACCTGATATGTAAAGTGCGCGACGACACTGCCGAGGTGGCCGAGTCCCAACCGGGCACAGTGCTCGTGACCAGCGCTGACACCGCGCTTGGCCTGCAGCTTTGCACACATCTGGCCAATAAGGGTTGTCGCGTGTTCGCCGGCATGCGCGATGCACAAGACTCTCTGCCCGCCAAGCTGCTCAACGGTTGGCTAAAAATGCGCGAGTATAACGAGGAGCCAGTGCGCGGCGTTATCATACCCATGCAGTTGGATGTGACGCGCGAAGATGTGCTGCGCGAAACCACAAGCGCAATGGGCGCGCACATGAACGCAGGCGAACGCGGCATAGCGGCGGTGATTAATACAAGCGGCAGTCTCTTTCGCGGACGCGTCGAGGTGCAGGAGGCGCAGCAATGGGAACATATGCTGAAAACGAATATAATCGGCTCGTTGCGCGTGGCCAAAGCGTTTGTGGGCTTCTTGCGTCCGACTAGAGGGCGTTTGATCTATTTGGGCGCTGGCGCTGGGCAGGGTAGCGGTGACGGTTTGGTGGCATTCAATGCATCGCGCGCCGCTGTGGAGAAGTGTGTGGACGAGCTGCGCAAAGAGCTGCAGCCGTATGGTGTGAGAGTGGTGGCGCTGGACACAACCGGTTTAACAGCAGAGGCGCTGTACAAGGCGCCGGTGCCGCACAGTAAGTACTAATGGTGTTTGGCGTTTTTTATGCAAGTAACGGTTTTTTATTTATGCATTACTAGGCAGCACGGAGAGTGAGGGCGCACCGACGCAGTACACAGCGGATGTGCTGAGCGCGAACGCCTTGCAGGTGATCGAGCGCGCTTTGTGGGATGTGGTGCCGCTGGAGCGCTACCAACTGGTGCAAAATAGTAAACTGAATTTCATGTTGCCATGTCGTTCATCCTTACGTATGACGAAATTGGGTGGTGGAGTCAGCAGCGGCGTGCAGCGGGTTTGAGGAATCAGACACAGAATAAACAACCGTTGACATGTGTGCTGGTAGTGCGAAGCCGTGTTGTACGAGCAAGCAAATGGTTAAAGGAAGCTTGAAGGAAAGATATGCTTGCGCGTATTGGATAACAAAATTTGGGGACACTCCAAAAATTTGTTTTGAACAAATATACAATTTTAAATAATTTTTCGATTTAAGAAAATGCAAAGTTTACATGGAAACTGCGGTAAAATTTTTGACAAAATATATTGCACAAAATTTTACATTATATTTGAGATTTGAATGAAAAACCAATTAACAGCTAGTTATTACCAAATTAGTAAGAGCAATTTGAGGTTATGTTGGTGGTATGTGCGAAATTTGCAAAACGATTTTCACTAGGTCTACCATAGCACTTCCCATGTAAACTGTCGTTTTATATTTTTATTAATATATACATATACATACATATATATAGTTATACATACGTATGTAAAATGCAACTTTGCTTTTGTAAATAATGAAATTTATAATTATATATTTTGCTGCATATTTTATTTGATTATTATTTGTTACTAAAAAATAAAATCGGCTGCCAAAATTACTAACTTTTATATAACTGCTTTTGCAAGACAATAATACACTTTTTTTCGAATAAAAATTTTAAATTCAATAAGGCTTTATAACCAACCAGGCCATGCCCTCTAGGAACTCGTAGTGCACAAAAATTCTATTCATATTTCGAGATGAAATCGTAGCGCAGCACTGATGCGCGATACACATCGCCCGCCACGGCGTTTGGCCTACTCGCTGTGCGTCCGGGCAAATGCACGAGCACATCAGCGCCGACAATGCTCTGCAGGCGGCTACTCATCTATAAATAAAAGTCATTAACGACATATAGAATAAGGCAAAGGCGCCTAATATTTACCTGACTGCCGTTGACCGTGGCGTATAAGTGACCATTCTTGCTAGTCACTGCGGCGCGCACATATTCTGGGCGCGGATCCAGCGCTATGCTAGCGTTCTGCAGCTAAAAGAAAAAATAGTGTAGAAAACCAACAAGCAAACAAAAATTATATATGCTATATAAATTTGATTTGCAGAAACAATAGTTAGACAAATACGACACTTGCAATAAAAGACGGAAGTAGTAAAATATTCGTCTGGCTGATAAAGCGTACTTAAGATATTGATTTGCTTTTAGTTATACGCTAACAAATACGTAATACTTGCAATCGCTTACAGTTATCGGTAGCGAGGCTAATTCGCACTTATCGCGCTCCCAGCCGGCGAACCAGCGTATGGCCGGCAATACAAACAAATGAAATGTGACGAATGCGGAAACCGGATTGCCTGGCAGCCCAAAGAAATAACTCTCATTTCTGGCAGCGAAGGTCATTGGCTTTCTAAAAAAAAAAAAAAGAATTATAAACCTTAAAAAACATATTTATTGAGCTTAAGTCAGCACTAACCCCGGTTTCATGTTGACGCGTCCGAAATTGATGTTGAAACCCAAACTTTGCAGCGCCGGCTTGATGTAGTCCTTATCGCCCATGGAAACGCCACCGCTGCAGATGATGAAGTCTACGTTTTTGTATAACTCTGCGATTTTGCCTTTAACAGCTTCCAAGCTGTAAGCAGTAAACATTTTAAACCAGTTTTATCACAATATTGTGTGTTAAGTGCGCTTACTCATCGCTAAGCACCAGTTTGTGTTTGCATTCGAAACCGAAATATTGCAACAGCTCCGCCAGCATAGTCGTATTTGAATCGTAAATTTTGCCCAACTCCTCGGGTTGCTCGGGCGCTAACAGTTCACTGCCTGTGGAGATTATGCCAATTTTCGGCTTGCGCACACCGCCCAAGTTTCTGCCAACCGATGAGAGTATCGACTTGATAACTACAGCTGAGTGATCAGCTGAGGGGAACAGTTTGCTGCCTTTGCGTAGATCTGAGCCAATAGGGCTGTAAGTGAAAGCGTTTATATAAGTTGCAAGAAAGCTGCAACTGCTAGTTTACCGTATATCGAGATTCGCTTTTGGTTCTATCAAAATTTCCACTAAATCCTCTTCGCCAGTCTTCTTCCGCCTCAGCAATTTAGTGTCCTCCACTTGCACAACACAATCGGCGTAATGCGGCACTGGCGCACCTGTGTTGATTTTGTAGCATTCGTCCTCCTCTAAATCGTGCACTATCATCTGCAGAAAGTCGACGTTTGAAAGCATAAAACACATAAAAAATAGTATTATAGCAGCGTACCTCATCCCCGGCTGCTATATAGCCCAGCACTTTTTTCGTGCCAGAGAAGCCTGTAGATTTCATAGCATAGCCATCTTTGATGGATGCTCGAAAGGGTGGTATATCTACTGGTGACGCAAATTCATTGAGCAGCTGCGCGACTGCGCGTTGTTGTTGTACTGTTTGAAATATTATCTCTAACGCTTGCACTACCGGTATCATTGCAAAGGGTGAATTTCTATCGCTGTTATCACCTTTACCAGTTTTATGTGGACAGATATGTCCACTTGCCGACGCACTACCATTACTTCCCTGCAATTCGGTGTGTACGCGTCGCACTAGCGGTAATTCGTTACCAATTAATTGCAGCGCATGTGGCAATAATTCATGCACCACTTCGAAGCATTCCGCTACTGCTTTTTCACTGCCCGGAAAGTTAAGTATCAACGTGTTGCCCGCAATACCACAAACACCGCGAGTTAATGCGGCAAAACGCGTCTTTTGCAGCGACGCTTGCGCAATATATTGTGCTAGTTGTGGACACTCTTTGTCTAATAGAATTTTAGTTGCCTCTGGTGTGACGTCACGTGGCGCAAAGCCGGTGCCACCCGTGGTAATAATTGCACTAACACTCGGTGTTTTCTGCGCAATGAGTTCAAGAAGTTTATCGCTGATTTGTTCACGTTCGTCAGGCAATATTGCTGTGATGATGTGCGCATTTTGAAAGCCATCGCGTATGAGCCTAACCAAGCGTGGGCCACTGCGATCCTGTCCAGCGTCTTGACTACAGGTGTCACTAACTGTGAAGGAAAAAATTTATTCAACATAGGTAATCTAGAAATCATACCAGCAGACTCACTCGTTAAAACTGCGAAAACAATTTCATCAGTCATCTTCACGCTTAGACGATTGTGGCTTTAATGCTTACACAGATAGTAGAGCAACTTGAACAATTTAAGCAAATAGGAAAAATAAAAAACAATAATAACACGAAAATGAATTGTTAAAAATAAAGAACTGCGATAAAAATATCAAAGATAACGAAGTGACAGCGCTTCGTTCTTATCTAGCAACGTCAGCTGTTAAACCGGTCGCTGCGCTGCTTTCATGCTTTTTATTTTAACAATCTTCTAAAATAACTTATAATTATGAACATTTTGGGTTATAAACATTAGCATTTAATACTGAAATGGTCAAACAATTTGGTTTTTATTTAAATATTTATTTTTTTTGTAAGCTTACTCAAAAAGCTTTTGCATGCAACACTGTTTTGCGTCTTCTCTATTTCTTCTTTAGCATACTTTAATTTGACAACGAATTGTTTGTCGATCAGCTGTTCTTCACTAAAGTGTGAGCATTTTAAATAACTTATAATATTCGCTTAAATTTTTGAGTTAAACACAAATTTATTTATAATGAGTGATCATAATTCAACCGATAATATGCCTAAAACGGAGGTTAGTGCTAATTTATTAAAAATTAATTAATTAAAAAATACTCCTAATATTGTCTTTGTAGCAATCATCACCACCACAGCTTAATACATCCGACAGCAATAGTGTTAACCGCTCTAATACTGTTACTACAAATGCGCCGGCAACAAGTGAAAAGGAGCTAACACCAGGACGTTGCAATCTACAAAATTGGCTTGGCCACCCGTTCAGGGTTGTCATCACTGATGGACGAGTGCTTGTTGGTTACTTCAATTGCACCGATAAGGATGCCAATGTGGTGCTGTCAATGTGTGCCGAATATCTAGAGGAAGGAAAAGATGCGCGCATACTTGGTAATGTTATGATACCGGGCAAGCATATTGTTTCCATCGCCGTTGATATGCCCAAAGATAGCACATTCGCACATAAACCGAATACACCATCAGCACCTGAAGTACTTTAAGGCTAGCTATTTAATTGAGAACATTTATTTGGTTTAACATTAGCAAGCGTAAATTAAATTTAACTATGAACTATGACTGTTTTTGTGCTGCTGCTTTGTTTTTTTCCTCGAGTGGATCATAACCCTTTTCCATACGTTCCTTAAACTGTTCGTAAGTGCGTTTGCGATCAAAATGTTTCACCCACTGGCGAGGACACGATCCTTCGAAAGCCTTTCGCAACTTTTGACAAACATCCGGCACCTTTTCACCACTTGTGGAACTGTGTTTTGGTGCGTTCTCGTTCAAGCACTCCCAGTATTCATCACGCGACGACCAACAACGTGCACGTTCCTCTTTGGTGGGAAAACTCATAGTTCTTGTGTTTTAAGCTCCAGTTTTTAAAGTTTTATAAGAATATCATATGAATTAAACTACGCTCGCCAATAAACGCAATCGGCAGTGACATAACCTAACAACTGTCAAAACATCAGCTGATTGTGGATTACGGAGAAGGAGACAAAACAAAATAGTAAATATATGGGTGTCAGAGGGCTTAAATTAAAAAAGGTATTATTGAGTTGAGGTAACTATTGTTTATTTAAGATATAGAAATATATCAGCTATTAGAGTATAAACTTATACCGCTTTTGAAAATGGTTAATTTTGTATTCAATGAGCGAAAATCATTGATAAATGTAAACTAGTTTAAAAGGCTGCATTATTATATAGTTATAATTAAATACATATATTTAAATATATATGTATGTACATTTGCAATAAAAACACTACAGTCTATCTTATTGAGTATATGATATAAAATATGGACGTTACTCTTGAGATTCCTATCACATTCGCAGTAAGCCCGTTTCATCATCACAAAACCACTTGCTTCACTTGTCCGCTGCCATGATCGGGTAATAGATGTTTTGCACTGCCGACACAAGTTTTCTTCAACGACTTTTCTGGTGGCCTCTTGCTACATTCATCAAAGTAGCATTTTTCGACGTTGTGTAAAAATTCAACTAGCATTTTGTTATCACCACCATTGGGTCCCACAAAGTATTCACACTCATAGCTACTCTGGCTTTTCAGATCGTGTACGCAACAATCCATAAACTCCGCATTAGCCGAGTACCATGCATTTAAATGTTGCATCGATATATTTAATTTCTCACGCAAAATACCCGTAACCCAAGTGTCATCAATCCAGAAGAAAGGTGTTTGCTGTGCTTCCTCCACCAGTCGCAAAGCTGTTGACGGATTAGTAATATACAGCCAGCCGGAGAGATAGGCGGGATAAGTTGTTTTAGGCCATTCATGTACGGAAACGTACCATTTATTGGCAACATTACGTACAGGTGGTCTTGCATTAAGCACATAACCGGCTAAATATGCTTGTGAGGCAATTAAAGTTGGTTGTTGCACTTCCAGTGACTCCAAGTAACGCCGAAAGTGGAAGACATCATATATTATATCATCATCTATTTTTATAATGAATTTGGCATTGGGACAGTCGGTGGCAGCCCAACGCAACCCCATCACATGTTTATAGCTCAGATTACGATAGGCTTCCTGAAAGTTGCCTTGCAATATGTCTCCAAAGCGTTTCTGCTCATCTAGCAGTTGCTTTTGTGTTATATATTTTTCCGTTGTTGGCAGAGCAGCTAGCAGAAAGATGCGTTGCATGCCCATTTCGGCCAGTTTGCTCTGTGGTACTGCTAAACGGTGTGCAGCGCGCAACTCATCATGTCCGGCATAAGATGTTACAATAATGATGGCTAAAAGTAAAAATTTCTTAATTGAAGGTAATATTGCGTTTCGCACTGCAGAGAACTACTTGCCCAACAGTCCTTTATCATTTTCGCGACACACATCATTCGGTATTTCATATTTAAAGTCAGTTAAATTCACCAATCGATTTAGTTTTAAATCAGCTTCAATGTTTTGTGGCGCTGCTTGCTCCTGTGACACGTCCTTCTCTAGTGGAGGCAGGTGCGTCAAAAACTCGTCTCTTTTAGCATTGGTGGCAAAGTAATCTATGCAAAACAGCAATATAATCACTGTTACTACGATTAGAGTTAAACATTTATACGCAATACGGCCGCGCAAACGCATTTTAATGCATTTTATTTTAAAAAACACAAACGATATCTGTAAATAAACTATCTGTCAGTAGCAATGTAAACAATTATAGTAGCCGCTGAATTACCAACAACACTAAACATTCACGATAAGGCAAAGTATTAAAAATAATTGTGAATGATAGACTTATTGGAGGAATTTTCATTTCATATTCAAGTGCTGAGGAATTTCTGATTGGAATTTTTTGTGTTGTCTTTTGCTCTTTTTTTGACTGTTTGCCATCTCGATTTCTGCAAAAAGTTGACGGCACGTGCATTACCTTTTCGGGTGTTCCATTGTATTTTACGGGTGCAGTTGTTTGTTTTCATCAATAAAGTGTGTGTAATAACAAACAAAGCTTGCTAAAAATTTGTGAATCAGTTAAAATAGTGAATTCAAGCATAAAGTGTAACTGTAATATAAGGTGTAAAGATGGGAAAGAATAACAAAAATAAAAATAATAAATCGGCCAGCAATAAGAATCAGTCTGCAGCCAATGTCATCGCCCACGCACACGCTGCACAGTCATCTACGAAACCACAGCAACAACAACAGGCGCCAATTAAACGACCCACGCTGACTCTGCAAAAGCACAACGAATTGAGCTCACTTATCAATGCATTGCTCGAAATAGGTTTTAAGCAGCCCGCAAACCCAAAAGAAGAATGGGAGCAATATTTAGAAATCCAAACACTGTTGCATCGTGTGCAAATACTTGAAACGCCTTTGCGCCGCCCCACCTGCAATCAAACTACAGAAGCGCGTTTGGCTAACATTGAAAATTTCTATCGTTGGGCCACTGAAAATGGTTTGCGTTTTGATGGTGTGCGTATAGCACAATTTCAAGGCTACGAATTAGGCTTAGAGGCCACACGCGATATAGCCGAAGAGGAAGTGCTATTTAGTATACCGCGCAAGCTTATACTCTCCGAGGAGAATATGGATTTAGAATATAGTCCAACGCAATTCGGTTCGATGTCGAATCTAAAACTATCGTATGTATTAATGTTGGAGGCATTGAAACCGGATAGCTTTTGGAAACCCTATATCGATTTGCTGCCGGAGAAGTATAATACTGTACTATATTTCACAACCAAAGAAATGGAGATGCTGCGTGGCTCAAATGCTTTAACTGCGGCACTTCGTCAGTGCAAAGCGATTGCGCGTCAATATGCGTTCCTCTACAACTGCACCGTGAAGGCACCGCGTGCAGATAAATTCAACTCAATTGGACAGACGTTTAAGGAGCAGTTCAACTATGATTTGTATCGGTGAGAGCAACTTTAATTTTTTATGGGTGTTAAGTGCTGTTAACGCTACACACTAAAAGGCTCGAGGGGAGTAAAATACCTAACCGAGCTTCTCAATCTGTCGCGGACCACTCTTCATATACCCCATGTGTAGAAAGTCGAAACCGTGGTTCCACTACTGAATTCTTGTGAAATCCGCCCAACTCGGGGAGTCCTACTGCCCAATAACCCTTATTTCCTTAGTAGTGAATACACTTGAGGCTTTGCTATAACTAAGATTCGCTCACTATCTGAGCGTGGCAAATTATTAAAGTTGTTTCCACACAACGCTGTTAGAAGATCTGTAACGAAAACACGTTTCCTTCTAGGCTGAAGAGGTGGCCCATGAATTATCTGCGTGGACGGCAATTATCCGTACTATTTCGGTGTTAAAATCCTTAGCCAAGCAGAATTAAACAGCGGGTTTCACAGAGTGTTGTCCACTCGCCATTACTGTTTCAATTCTATCCGTCGAAATTCCTTCAATCAACCAGAAGTTTCCATCACCTCTTACACAGATGATTATATGATATTGACGTCAAGTAATGGATTTGATTTTAAAATACAAATAATTATCTCATCGATCGTTCTCGCTTCTTCTCTGCAAGTAGTCTAATACTTTCCCCCCAACAAATCCACAGCGTGAATGGCGTACTTGGTTCAAAACACCACCTATTGCAGACGAAGAGTTTGAGTTGCCTCTTGTGTAAATTTGTTCTGGTTTAAACTCCTACCTATCCAGAATTGACACCAATATACCAAATATACATACATATGTATGTATGTCCTGTGTACAATGAGTCCTCGCATAACTCTAACCACCTCTTTGCATGCCTTAAATTCCACACATCTAATACCCCTCCCTGTGGGTAATCCATTTCGAGGTTCCCTACATTTTGAAAAAAGAACACAGAAAATTCAAATTTGATTTGACACGATCTTGGTGTCGATTCTGTAAATAGATCCATTGATTGATGTGATGGGTGGGAAGTGGCGCCGTCTTGTTGAAACCAAATGTCGCCGACAACCACACCAAACCGTTGCCCATAGAGCAAAGCGATGTCGCTTGGGAAGGTCGAGCGGCTTCAGTTTTTGCACAAGATGTATTTGCTACGACTCTCCACGGTCTTCGTGTACACTCTCAGCTACGACCGCTATATTTTCTTCACTGCGTGCTCGACGCGGTCTATTCGGTCGAACAATATCCAATAATGAATGCTGGGTCTCAAGATGGGTGATGGTGTTGCGAATAGTACGCTCAGCAGGCCGATTATGTTGACCATAAGTTGAGTGAAGCGCGGCGAAACACATTCCATATAGAACGTGAATTTTCGTAATAAAGTTGAACGATTTGTAAACGTTGTTCAGGCGTAAGTCTTTCCATGATGAAATGTCAAACAATACTGAACAAAAATAACATGACAGCTTGACACTACACACGCGTGATCTGTCAAGAAAATGCTATTAAAAAAAGTACCTCTACTTGGATACATATTTATTAAGGCTAGACTTATTTTAAAAAATTTAAAAAGTGCAAATTGTAGATTAAAATTAGCAATTATAGAGTAGTAGCCAATAGATATAATGTAAGGTTATGTTATAATTTGAATTTTGAATAAAGCTGCAAATTATTGCTTTTGCCTTACCATTGCATACCAAAAAAAGAATCACACATACAATTTTTTTTTTATTAAAAGTATACTTTTTATTTATTATTAATATCAGTATAATATCATCGGGGTTCAGGAAATGGTATAATCTAGTTAAATATATAATACACATTTTGTAAAACCGCTTATGTATAGATTTGAAAGTTTTTAACTAAACGTATTGTGGCGTTAAGTCGCTCTCCTTTTTAAAACTTTTATCTAAAACTACAAATATAACATATTATGCTGTTTACAATCGTACTATTTTTTATAAATAAAAATTACGATTACTGTTTTTCGGCACAAAAACGACTAAATTAGTAGTTCACAACGCCTAATTTTTACTTTTATGTATAAAATGTTATTACTTTTCGTTTGTGTTTTTAATTTACAAACGGTTTCAAGTCTGTAAACTCTAATTTTGGGTTGTGCATCAAATATTTCCTTGGCGTTTTTGTCGACAATTCGTGTTTCTAAAACTTTTATAGATTATTGTCATTAAAAACATTATTTGTTTTATACTTATGGTTTGGTTTCGCTAAATACGATTTTATAATACTATGTTATATAATTTTTAATTTTTTTTATTAATTTTTATTAAACATTTTTTTTATTAATTTTTATTAAACATTTTTTTTATTAATTTTTATTAAACATTTTTTTTATTAATTTTTATTAAACATTTTTTTTATTAATTTTTATTAAACATTTTTTTTTATTAATTTTTATTAAACATTTTTTTATTAATTTTTATTAAACTTTTTTTATTAAACATTTTTTAAACTTTTTTAAACATTTTTTTTTTTAATTTTAAAGTACTATGTTAAACAATTTTTTATTAATATTTTTTTATTATTTAAATTTATGTTTATTAATTTTTTTTATAAAATTTTTTTATTATTAGAAATTTTTTTTATTAAATTTTTTTTATTATTAGAAATTTTTTTTAATTAAAATTTTTTTTTATAAATTTTTTTTAAAACTTTTTTTTAAAATAATTTTTTACTATTTTTTCACGCCTTTTTAAAATTGCTTACGTCACCGTTGTGTTGTTTGAAAACCCGCTTTTGGAACTATGCTAAACCAATTTCGAACTCTTACGCACTAGTTGGGGTAAAAATTGCGCTAATCTTAATTGTAAATTTACGATTTTTTTTTAAATATATTTTTCTGCTTAAAATTTTTCTTTTTTATATTTTTTTTTAACCTTCTTTTTTTGCCTTTTTAATATGCTACCAAAGAAATTTTTATGTTCTACGCATTAAAGGTTGGTTGCTTCTTAGAGTTTATAAGTTTCTTTGTTATAAAAGTGTTTTAATTTACAAATTTTCGCCGTTCTCTCCACACTTTTTTTACATAATTGCTTTAAGTCTATTTGCTTGTATTTCTTATGTTTGGCAACATGTTTCGCATTTATTTCTCCAATTTAGAAATATTTTAAATAAGTTAAAATTTACAAATATTCAAAACTATCAAAATCTTAAAATTCCTTCACACAAATATCAAATACAACCCTGCGTTGATTTAGTAAGACTTCCGCAGCGCATCGAACAGATACTCTTGCACCTCCGGCGAGTTCGGGTCCATTGTGTTGAGTTTGTTTGTAGAACTATTGTGCACGCTCTGCAACGACAGCGCCAGCGATGTTGTGGAGCCGGTAGCGCTGCCCATACCGCCGCTGTTTCCTAAACTAGCACGCGTCGCGCCACGCATAACTCTGCTACGTCTGCCGCCGCCGCCACTGCCGCTTAGCTCCTCCACATCTATGCTGCCGCTGCCCGAGTGTCGTGGGAACAGTAATGAACTTTGCCGCTGCAGCTGGTGTACCGGTGATACCGACACCGTGGACACGCCGCCGACCAGCTCTTCCATATTGCGTAAGGAGGAGTGCCGCGACGAGTTTGTGATGGTCGGTAATTTGCTCTTCATAGCATTGTATGTCTTAGTGTAGCTGGTTTTGCGTTGACGCCGCTGCTTCCAGCGACAAATTACAAATATGACCATAAAGGTTGCGAGCGAGGTGAGCACAATCGCCGCGCTGGCCACAATGGCGGAGCGTATGCCTGCTGGCATATTGCTATAGATGCTATTTTGGCTTGCCGCTGTAGAGACCGCCGCTGCGGCGGGGCTGCGTTTGAAACCGTGGCCGGACAGCTCGAGATCGAGCAAGTCATGCGCGCGCGCCACTTCATTCTCGATGACCTCTGCGGTGTCGATGATGCTGGCGCTCTGTAGCTGCGTGGCGGTAAGCTCCTGCTGCTGTGGCGCCTCAGCGTTTATATTGGTATTTGTTTCGTTGTCCATTAAAAAGTCGTTCTCATCTAACTCGGCGGAGGTGTTCTCGAGCAGCATTTGTGGTGGTGACAGAAAAAAGGGATTGCGCTTGGTGGACGCGTCACTGCGCGTGCTGCTTGCGAGTGAGGCCAATGCCAAGGTTTTGAAAGAGGGGAAGAAACCTACTGATTTTTCGGTGCGTTGGGATTGTTGATAGTTGGGCGAACCTGTGGGATGGGAGTAAAATATATAGAAATGAAATTTGCGCTTGAGCGTCAAACTAAAGCTAAACAAATTCATAAATACAAAGCGCGCACTTACATGATTTGTGGCAAGCTGCTGAGGCTGTGGCAGCCGCTAGTTGTATACGCCTAAGCGTGCATGCTGTCGGGCTGTGACATGGTATAAAAGTAAACTTTATGCTTGCTTCCAATTTGAACTCAGCAGCTCACCACAAATCTTGTGCCGCAGAAGCGCAGCGCGCTACTCTAATGCCATTTGCGCCGTCTGTATTGATAGCGCGTCGCGCCGCGGTATTGTCGTCGTCGGCGTTCTAAGCGATTACGTTCGTACACACCTTTGCCAGCAGCGGATTCGTCTTTGTAGATCTCGTCCGTCGGCTCGATGTCTATGATGGAGGTAAAGTAACTGGCGCCTTGCGAGTCTGTCTTTATATCATCCGGTTTGACGCTCTTCAAGTCCATCAGGTTAAAGTGTGGGAAATTCTCAAACGCTGTAACAATGTCCATATTGTCATGAAGGACGACCTTCTGTCCCGGAAAAAATCGCGAACGATTTTGCACAACCGTCGCCAAATGCAATTGGCTCGAGCCGCGTTTGCGGTGCTCAATCAGCTCCTCAAGCGTCATATTGCGTTGTTCCAGCACTTTGAAGAGCCGATTGCCGGAGCGCCTATCCTCAATTAACTCCAGCAAATCGGTGCGATCGTCCACACCATCAAAATCGGGTACGGAGTCTTGATAAGCAAACGTTTCACCGGCCGTAGCTGGTTTCACCTGATCGATGCGTGGCGTAATGTTTTCTCTGTCTGCTTTGTTTGTTTTCTCGCGCTGTTTACTGACCGTGATTTGAGCGCCAATAAAGTTCTCGAGGCCGTCGCTCTCGGGGTCTGTGGGCGTTGAGTGCGCATGCGTCTTCTCTGACTCTATAGAGTTTGTTTTGAAATTAGGATGTTCGCGTGATGCTGGTTTCAAGATCGCGTTGGTTGCGGTCACGCGCGTTGTAGTGTTCGACGGGCTGTAAGATGTAGTAGAGGTGAGCTTCGTTGTGGCGCTTGTAGACGCTGTTGTGCTAGGTGTGTTAGTAAAGGACGTTGTAGTTGTAGTGTCGACTTTGCTGGTGGATACCACATCACTCTCTTCCTCATCGCGCAAATACTCTTCTTCCTGCTGTTCCTCGGTATCTGTCGTATCCTCAGCACTGTCTGCTTTCTCCACAGTTTTGGCGTTCGTAACAAATTCCTGTTCCGTCTCCTGTTCCTCTTCATTGGCCACTACTGTGGGTTCCCTATACCTGTTGTTGATTATAGTTGTGGTTAACTTTTCTTCAAAATTTGTCTTATCATTTGCTGTAGACTCCGCACTAGAGGACTCCGAAGCCATGGCATTCTTTAGCATAAACGTTGGCTTTAGCGTTGAGCGTAGCATTAAATTTTTCTTGTAAATTGGTAGGCGCGTGGTAGTTGTAGTTATCGTCGTCGTGCTTGTGGCGGTTGTTGAGCTCACGGGCAAGCTCACACGTCTTGTTGTGCCGCCTGAAGCAGCGTGACCGTACTGCAATGTTGCTGTGCGCGTTGAACTACCGAAATATTTGTGACGCTGTAGTGTCGCTAGCTTTAATCTGGCGCGTTGCTGCGCGTCAGCGCTCTCAACCGATTCGTCTGGTGTTGCACGCAGCTCTGCGTCCAAATCATCATCGCCTGCATGCGTTTGCTGTGTTGTACCGACAGGCGCATCGTTTATACTAGCGAGGTAGGGCTGCCAACGCATCGGCTTAACCGGCTTGTTCTCCACCACTTTATTCGGCGCGTTTGATGGCGCTGCTGCTGTGCTTTGTAGCACTTCCAGTGCATTCTGTTTGCCCTTCAATAAATCGTCTAGCGAAAGATTCTTCTGTTGCAGTATTTCGCTTAAACTCAAGCCGCCAGCATTTTTGAGTATATGCTTTAGATCTACCGTTTTTTTGACGTTTGAGGCGAACGCGCTGTCGCCCGTTGACACTTCAGCCTCCTTTTTAGCCTGTGAATAAGGGCGTCGATACGATTTATCGCGTGTGTTCGCAATTGGCACATTCTCCTGCCGCTGCTTGTCACGCAGCTCATACAATTGCTGTTCTTTCTCTAACGCGGCATGTGGTTCGCGTATAGCTGGTTGCTTACGCTTGCGACTGTTAGCGCGCGTGTCTTCACGTGTTTGGGTAGCAGTATTGTCCGCTGAGCTATCGTTGTCAACTCTACCGCGCCAGTATTGCTGTTGCGTGCCTTCGTCGTTATTGCTCGTGGGGCGCCGTGTGCGTGCGCGACTTGTGCTGGCCGTTTGTCGACGTCGTGGTGTTGCGGGTAATATGCCAGAGTTGTCGCTGTAATAAGGATAGTTTGTGGACTCGTTTAACTGAGTTTCATCGCCGACAATCAGCGAAGCGCCTGCGCGTATAATCTGCAAATGTATAGAGAGCAAACTAAAGTTAAAATCGTTGGTAAAATATTTTGGCTTGAGTCAAAATTATATTATGATAAAAAGTATTTTTCCTCTAGAGGATATATACACCGATCCAAAGCATTGCATAACACAAAATTCTCCGTTCCCACGATAGTCGGGTCAACGTAACCGGACCCGTCCGTAACGGACCCGGATTTATTCCGGCCGCTACAACAACAACAAAATTAAAATGAGAGTAAGTGAAATGATTTTCCAGCAACCGAAGAGAAAGCTCAAAGGATCTCAGAAGCTGTGGTCGCCAGCATTCTTAAGTTTCTTGCGGGTTTTTATAAATTTTCGATTTGTTTGCCAATTTATAAAGTTAATATTATAACGCACTGAGGAATACATAAGCTTAAAGTTTAAATGCTGTAATTGCAGGGTTGCATTTGCTCATTAAAATCATTTTAATTAACATGCATTCAATACAAATATGCACTACACAATATTCTATACACAACTTTAGCGTTAGCTGAGCTTGAAATAATACCTTCTACCCTTCAATCCCCCGCTCCACTTTTGTATATGCTCTATTTGCCATTCATTGCATTTCAAAAGGCTTTTGTACTCCCCCCCTCTTCTATTATTCGATATCTATAACGCATCTTCGGTAACACTTTACAGCTTCCGTCTGCAACTCACACCCCTACTGCTCACAGCCGCACAAATCCCGCACCAATTGTGCATTGAAGTGTGAATATGAAATGCACTTAACTGCTTGTTGATTGATTGACACGCTACACATAGACAAAACTCGACATTCTTACACCCCCGTTTGCTGCTGACTGTTGGAGAATTGATTGCGGAAGTGCGGCAACATAACAAATTAAGCGTTTGCTTCCACACAGCAACTGAAAATTACATAAATAAAAGCGATGCTGGCGCGCAAAAGCCTGAGCGCTCGCCTGCAACGCTTCCCTCTTCATTCCAACGACACTTAGACTTTTTTCTGTGAGCACAAATACTTCAGCGTTTTGGCGCATATTCCTTTCATGCTTTACACAGAATATTGGAAATACATTTCCGCAATTTCCCGCGGGTATTATCCGCTCGCAGCCGTCGACATCCTGTTCCATTTGAGCTCATTTGTTTTTCGTTTCAGGCGCTGCAGTTTTATTGCTATCTTGTTAGGCGCTGATAATCGCTCTCTACTTTCATTGTTTGCTTTGTGCCGCTTCTGCATTGATAGCTAAATCCTCAGGCCACCCCGTAGCGGTTTAAGCATACATACACTCAAACATTTCCATTCCACTTGAATGACAAGCAGCGCCATTGACCTGTGCATTTAAGCAGAAATTTGCTTATGATTATTTTACCTCCGAGCTGCTTGTGGTAACCATCGCTAGCTAAGTGTATGGGGCCTCAGTGCATAATCGCTTGTTAATGGTTGTCTGCCTGGCTAAAGTCATAACTCAAAATGTTCGATATGTTTTTGTTTTGCGCACAACAAAGTGATTTGCATGTAAAAAGTCGCTTAATGATGCGCGGCGAAGAGCGAGAATCCTGCAGCTATTGCTGCAAAGCATATGTGTGCTTGCAGAGCTCCAGGGAAATTGCTACAAATTGGCTTGAGGTAGCGCTATTTCATTTCGAATCATTAAAGTAGCCTTTATTAAAATGTTGGCATAAATAATAGTTTTCGGCAGCGCTATTATTATGTATTGGCACAATGATACTTTGTAGTAAATCAACTGGATTTTAATACATAATTTTAGTAATTGAAATTTTTGAGAAAAAATGCAGAAAATGCTGTTTTCGCAATAATAAAAAAAAAAATAATAATAAAAGTTATGTTATGCTATGTTATATTATGCTATGCTATTATGTAAATAACATTATAACCCATTATATTATGTAGTTTCTTTTAAAATATATTGCGTTAATTTGAAACAAAATATTTTTTTTTCCCTGCTCACTTATGTCGCTAAACTTGCAGAGTAGCGTTAAAAATGTGTAATGAACCCTAAAACTGCCCAAAATAATTAAGTTATTTGCTTATGCTAAGTTATGTTATGTAGCGTAGTGCTATGTTAAGCTGTTACGTTAAGCTTGTCGAATTACGCTAAATAGTTGAAAATAATCCATGAAAAGCGAAAAAATTAAGGTATGTTATGCTATGTTATGTTATGCGTGGTAATGTCATTTCCATTTTTTTTGTACAAATATTTGTTTTGTTCATTACTTTATAGTTTTTGGCCAATTTCGTAATTTTTTCTACTCCTATGCTATGTTATGCGCTGTAGTCCAAGGTTTTCTTAAATAAAAATTGCGTTTGTTATGTTATGCATTAATTAGGTTTTCAATTATTTTTTTATTCCTTTGTTATGCTGTGCTATGCTATGTTACGTGGTTTAGTGCCGTGTTTATATCTTTTGACAATGATTTATTTTTTTACGTTACGTAAGTATACCTTTTTTGGCAAATGTCAAATGTTTTTTTTTACTGCTATGCTATGTTATGCTATGCTTTATTATGCTAGTGTTTTGTGTAGGTTTTTTTGCACAAAGGTTTGTTTTGTTGCGTTATGCACACTTTTTTAACCAAATTTCCAAAGATTTATCGCTCTATGCTATGTTGTGTTATGCTATGTTAATATTTTTAATTATATTTATAATTAATAATAAGCTTTTCCGTTAAATCAAATAATCTACAATTAACAATTATCCATTATTGATAGTCATAAACATTTTTGCAAATTCAATTATTTATGATTTATTGCGCAATACTATTGCTTGTCAAACTTGATTCTGCAATTTTACTATTTTTTACTTTCTTTTTTTTTGTGTTTCATAATATTTTCATCTGATTTTATTCACACATGCAACGGAAAAATGTTATGCGCCGCCAAATGCACTCAATTCGCATTTCTTCTCAATCACGCCAATCAATCAATCATCGCAATTGCAACGCTGCGTTGATAGTTGGGGTTAACGTGCTTGCCGCATGTATGAACTAGAATCGGCATTTGCAGTAAGCGTTTGCAACAACAAAGCGAAAAGAAAGCATTACGAAAAGCGGCGAAATAAAATTTAAAAAAGAATTAAACAAACTTTGTGGTTTTTTGCGCCGCGCTGCCTGCCTGCAGTTTGCTTTCACATTCGGGAAAATTGAATTTCGCTTGGCATTGCATACAAATATTGTTGCAGCAACAAATCAAATATTGGTTGTTTACGCCGACTCGTGACTTCACTATTTGCTTGTGTGTGTGTGCATGTGCGCGCCTCGTTGACATTTTGAGTGTCGATGACATTTACGACACGTAGCGTTGTTGCTGCAATTTTTTAAATCTCTTTTTATTTTTCCCGCAGCGTTAAGCAAGTGATTTAGTATTGTGTTTAAAAAATCGTACACTTTTTATTGCAATTTCATTTCACACATAAAAGTCAATGTTTGGTGTTTGCTGTTTGCTTTCTGCTTTGTAAAATTTTAAACGTGTATTTATAACCTGATTGATGGCGCAGTGCTTGTGCGTCGTTTGTTGTGGCATATTTTCAGAGCATAAAGTATGCATTAGGTTTTTATGACATGCCTTTTACTGGACACAACAATTTTCATGTGCCCATAACTGTACTGTTATACTCATGTACTGTTATACTGTGTGCGTGCATGTGTGGTCAAGCATGTGTAGCTTGACGTCAGCAATCATCAATCACAGCTTGGAATTTTTGCTCTCAAAATTAATGAAGTGTATGTCAGAAAGTGTGAACTGTATAGGAAAATAGTAAAAACAAAAATTACGAAAAAAAATATCGAAAAAAAAAATTAGCAACACGAATTTTGACAAGCCATCGTTTGAACGCGTAATAATAATTAGCGCATAGCTGATGTAAACACCTTGTAATGTTTTGCTGTGTCGGTATATCGATAATTATAAAAAAAGAGATTGGGACAAGTTCGTTCCATTACAGTTTTTGTTGTGTGTTTGATAGAAAACTGATGATTGTGATGTGATGACATTAAATAAAGAAGGATAATGGCTTTGTTTACTAGGAAAATTTGATACACGATTTTATTCCGACAGCTTATGATTTGTTCTTCTTATTCATTTCGTGTATTTTTAAGTAATTTTCCAAATTACATTCTATCCAGTTATTTAATCTGAAGACTTTAAAGCAAGGCGAATTGAGAGATGTGATATTTCATCGGTACTTTGACTTGACAATTCAGGGCGAATTCAGTTTTTTCACTATTTTTTGGCAATCTATGAAAGAATAGAAAAGAATCCTTTGACATTTCTCTCGCACATTGACCAGACTAATTAAGGCGAATTCAGGTTTTTGATATTTGAATCGCACTTTTGCTTGACCATCTAGAGCGTTTTCAGATTTTTGACATGTCACCCAGTTTTTGAAATGAAAATCTAGCGCTAATTCAGATTTTTGACATTTCACTCGTGATTTCGGGCGAATTTTAGTTTTTGACATTCCAACCGCAATTTGACAACAGAATTCGGAGCAAATTCAGGTTTTTGACATTTCTTCGACACTTGGACGTTACAATTCAGTGCGAGTTGAGATATTTGACATTTCATATGTACTTTGATTAGACAATCTAGGGCGAATTCAGATTTTAGACATTTCTTTGCGTTTTAATGTAGCATTCTAAGGCGAATTAAATTTTTTGACATTTCACCCTTTTATATGGAAAAGAAAAGTGTTAAAAAACAGTTATTATATTTTATTTTTTTTATTAAAATCTACTTCCATTTAATTCGCACACGTGGCAACATGTTGGAAAGAAATCCGCTGAGTGACACTTCCATTTGCTTTTACATTAAAAAAAAAAATTTAAAAGATCAAAGTATAACAAAAAAATATAATTGAATGCACATAGTCCCGAAATAACAGAAAAAAGTTTGAAATATTTTAAATGCTGCGCCTAAAATGACACTACGGCACGAACACTGGAGCGTAGCTGAATGATTTTTATCGAAATGCCAGCTGTGTGTTAAGTGTGTG